GTGAGGCATGCTCCTCAGGTCACCCTGTAGCCCAGGCTGGCCTCGAGCTTTCGGTGATCCTCCTGCTTCAGCCGTGCACATGCTGGGCTTCCAGGCGCGCGCCACCCCCATGCCCGGGGCACCTCCTGCAACTTGATAGGAAGTGTGAGCAGTTTCAGTGACTTCTGCGCGTTGGCATTGGGCATATGAATTCCTTCTAGTTAAATATTTGTCATGGGCAGGCATTTTAAAATTTTGGGCTTCAAAATGTTAATGAGTTGTTAGTTTTAAAATTGTATAAATTGTACTTAATAAACATGCTTATTAAAGCATTTGAATTTTTTAGTTTTATTTTTTATTAGTGCCTTTTGCAGTCCATGGATGGTGTCTGTCTTGTGAGAGGCTGGCAGCGCACACAGTGCACCTTAGCTCTTTCATTCCTCCCTTCCCTCCTGCTCCACGCCACCTCCTCCTCCCCTCTCCCTCTTCCTTCCTTTCTTGGTCCCTTTCCATTTGACAAAGATCTGTCTCCCTACTTATATTTTTAATTTCTTATATATAAGGCGAGCCATGTATTTACTATTTAAGGCCGTGTGTGTAAATCACTTAACATTATGGAGCCAAGGCATAGCCATTTTCTTACATATGATTCAGTTTAGTTTTTATTGCAGAGTACTGCTCCATTGGCTCTGCACTGGGTGTTGTAAAAATCATCTGCCAATGGACTGATCGAAGCATTTGTAAACATGATTTTTGGTGGTGCTCGGGAGAGAACCATAGACTTTGCGTATGCCTTGTGGCCTTGAGTTTGTGTGCTAGGCCCAGTATCAGTGTGTGTTTGTTTTTTCAATAATGGTGCTTGAACCCTGGGCCTTTATGGTGAGCTAAAACCTTAGGTTCTTGTATTTTCCATTTTGAGACAGGGTCTTGTAAGTCTCTAAATTACCTAGACTTGGGCTTGAACTTATACTCCTGCCTTGGGCTCCCAAAGTGCTGGGATAACAGGCCTGGGCCGAAATGCCCTGGTGGTGTCAATACTTTTGATTAAAAACTCCTTTTTTTCCCTTTCTTTCCTTCCCTCCCCCTCCCCCTCCCCCTTTCCCTTCCCCTCTCCCTCCCTCTGAGACAGGGTCTCATTATATAGTCTAGGCCCTCAAATTCAAGATCCTCCTGCCTCCACCTCTCATGTGCTGGAATGACTGACATGCAACACTGTGCTCTACTTGAGTTGACTTGATATCCCTTGATACATAGTGCTTCTCGTCCAGGTCTGACCTTAACTCTTGTGTCATGGGTTAAGATTTCAGCTTCTTGGGCCACTCTTGGTCAACTAGGCCTGCAACAGGATCCTTTGTATTTCTGAGCAGTGAGCCCCGGAAAAGGCAGATGTCAGAAACAGCAGTAACAGCTGTTTTGTAGCAAACTGAAACATGAGGCAAAAATGACATTTCTGGGCCTGGGGAGATAGCTCAGTAGAATAAGCGTTTGCCTGGGGGAGATAGCTCAGTAGAATAAGCGCTTGCCTGGCAAGCCCAGGGTCCTGGGTTCAGTCCCTGTTACTGCAAAAACAAACAAAAACAAGAAAACAAACGGTCCTGCTACAGATAAATAGTTTCAAGTAATTTTTATAGAGGAAATTGAATTTCCATCTCCCAGTCTAAGAAGAGATTGGTAGAGGGAGTGAAGCAGTTAGTGCAGTTGTGATTTTGTTAGAGCAAAGGTGTGTGTTAGTATTGATTGTAAATAAATTGTGGATTTGTTGAAATAGCACTGAGGTAATGTCTATCTGAAAAGTGAAGACTGTATCTGCCCTGATGTGTTGGTCGTGAAACTTAAGTGGCTCTGAGAGCGCTTCAACTTGAAAGAACTATGTTAAGTTTTAATAGTTGCTTGTACCACTTAAGTTTGACTTCCTAGTGTAAAGTGTAGCATTTTAGACATGCATAACCGTGCTGGAAGAGAAGGCAGGCAGAAATCTTGACCGGGGTGGGCAGGCAGCTCATGAGCAAAGACTGCATGGGAAATACGCAGAGCCACAGCTGGATTTCACGTAGCTGAAAAGGTTTTGGCTGTTGAAAGAAATCACCTTTCCTTTGAACAGATTCTTTTCCTTTCAAGTATCTATTGTACCTTTTAAATTTTATTTGCTCTTTCAGGTTTTTACACTAGGAAGACAATACAATGTTAACTTATGCGGTTCTGATTTATTTCACTTAAGTAGGTCTCTAGTTGCATTCATTTACTTATAAAAGCCTTGAGTTTATTTGTTTATTTTTATAGCCTGAGTAATACTCCATTGTATAAAAATGCCACATCTTTTTTATCCATTCCTTAGTTGATGAGCATGTGGGTTGTGTGCATGTTATTATTATTATTACTTTTAAACTATTATTCTCTTAAAAAAAAGGAGCTACACTCAGTTCCCCAGTGTGCCATGGTGGCCCGGCCCCTAAGGCGCGCTGAGACAGCTAATTTGAGACTGGGCATGGTGGTGCGTGCTGGTAATCCCAGTGCTTGAGAGGCTGAAAACGAGTATCACTATGAGTCCGATCTGTATGGTGAGACCCTGTAGACCTTGTACTAAACACACTTTTTTGGGGGTATTTTTTTAGTAAGGGTAAATATACTTTTTTTCTTCAAGAAAGAAAAGAAAAAGAAATGATCAGAGTAAAAAGAAAACCCACAAATTGCGAACGAGTTTTAGCCAGTTGTTCCTCAGACAGAAGACTTCTATCTAAAACATAAAGATTTAAAAAAATCAAGCCCTCAGAATTCAAAGACCAAAAATGGACATCTGAGATGAATATACACCTCTCAATGAAGAAATGCAAATGGCAAATAAATATATGAAAAAAGTTCAACATCATTGATCCTTTGAGAGATGCTACTTAAAACAACACTGAGATCCTGTCTCACCCCAGAAAGAATAGCTGTCATCAGGAAGTCAGTTTAGCAACTGCTTGGAGGGCTGTGGGGAGAAAGGAGCCGTTCTCCACTGCTGGCGAGAGTGTGGAAGTCAGTGTCGAGATTCGTCAAAAAAGTAGATTGTAGGTCCCGTTCGACCCAGTTATTCCCTTCTGGGTATTTTTCCCAGAAGAACTGAAAACATACCACAGTGATAAATGTTTATCCATGTTTATAGCAGCACAATTTGTGACACCTAAATTGTGGAAGCCACCGAAGTGTTCATTAACTGAGGAGTGGATAAAAGATGCATTTTTATACAGTGGAGTAATACTTAGCTATAAACAAAGATAAACTCGAGTCTTTTATAAGTAAATTGATGCAACTAGAGACCTACTCATAGATGAACTAAATCAGACCTGCATGTTTAAACATATTGTCTCTCTAGTGTAAGAAACTGAAAGAGTCAGTACGATCCAAAGGTGCAGTAGGTATAGCGAAAGGGAAAGAAACTGCTCAAAAGGAAAGAACAACTGGGTTGAGGAAGAGGAGGAAAGAAAGAAGGTAAAATAATACATATAATATATGTATATATATATACACACATGTATATATGTATACATTATATGTGTGTGTTTGTGTAAAATATATATGTATATATGTAAAATACTATACATATATGCTCACCATAGCAAAGCTAACTGTAATACTGATTTCCATTGGTTTATTGAAAGAAATAGTACATATTTAATTTTTTGACCAATTTTTCATGTATATTACTGGTAATCAGAACAACTACTTTGAAAATAACAACATGCAATGTAGCAACCATTGTTTATTTCCTATCTTGTTTTGATAACTTTTATCATTTTTAATTTTTTTATTCTCTTTAAAATGAAAAAAGGGGCCGGGGAGATGGCTCAGTAGAATAAGTGCTTGCCTGGTAAGTGCAAGGGCCTGAGTTCAATCCTCAGTTCTGCCAAAAAAAAAAGGAAAAAAAAACCCCTTTTACTGATAAGTGCATTTTTCTTTTCCAGACTTATCAACCCTTTAAGCAGAGGTAACAGTTTCTGTGCTGTGCTGGAACGTGGCTATCCTTCAAAGGAAACCGTATTACAGTGCAGCGTTTTTTCTGTTGATTTTTAAGTTCCAACTTTATAGTTCTTTATGCAGTAATGCATAGAATTCCTTAGTAGCATTTAACGCCCGTGTCAGGCTTTGCTCCCAGAGATTCTGATTTAATACGTTGTCACGGGGCTCTTGCTGATTTTTATTCTGCCTCCAGGGCTGAGAACCCCAGCCTGGGAGTGTAGACATTTGGGAGAGGTGTGATCACGGATTTTGCAAATCAGAAATTCGTAGACTTTTTATTTGAGAACAGTAACAGTTGGCTCCTAGAGAAAACAAAACAGGCTGCTGTGGAGATGTTAGGGGGGCTGGGCCGCCACTGCAGAATGGTAGGTGGTTGCTTTGTGAAGGAACAGCAGTAGCACTCTTTGTACTGTGAGGATTTTTCTTTTCTTCTCAGCGCCAACGTGATGAGCATATTTGACCTTCCTGTTTTATCTTGTGTGATGCAGTGAAATGGGTAATAGACACATGCGCTGAGCCACTTAGGCCAGCATTTCTTTCTTTTTTTTTTTTTAGTGTAAAGCACCACACTGGTAACTTGGGTTGAGGATAATACAAAAATATAGAGGAATCTTTTCCCGCTCCACCAGCATTTGTGCTATTTTTGTTTCAGAATAAGCAACTTTTTTTATGAAATGGATTTTGTTCTAGGGTGATATACGTGGTTTATGAAGAAAAAAACTTAAACTATGTTTTGTTTACCATCTGAGGAAGCAGTACAGATACATCAAGGGAGCTCCTGAATGGAACATTGTTTTCCAATTGTATGTTGTAACCTAAAGGTTTTAAAGTTTTGTTTAAAAAGTGGTTGCTCTATGTAAAGGAGAAATCAGTTTTCTAAAAACAAACCTTCACGTTATCAATATCAACATGGATTTACAGTTTACTCGCTGTAAATAACAGAACAGGAAGTTGTTAGTAAACTTTTTATTAGTGTTTGCCTGAAGTACTCACGTAGGCCTCTCATTTCTGTCTTACCCTGTTAGGTGTAAAGGTTTCACTCTGTGTTACTGGACTCCCTATTGGATGCTGCCCTCTGATGTTTGTGGAGTGGACTGCTTTTGGGAAGCCGCGCTTAGGTAGGCACTTGGCCTGTACTGGTAGATCAGCGTAAGATTAGTAAGTAGTAACAGCTTTGACTGTGATAGGATATGAAAGTCTTTCTTTTTCTGTACTGTAATATTATACAAGTAAACAATGCATTTTCTGATTGGGTTTTCAGTTTTATTTTGTAGTTAAAGCTAGTTTTTTAGTATATTCTCATATGAATGCTTTAATATATTTTAGATGTTATTAAGATAAACTGTTCTTAGGGGACTTTATGACCTGAATTATGATACATATATTCACTTATTTAATTTAAAGCTGGTGTACTGAAGAAACATTTTGTTTGTGGATGGGACGGAGTAGAAGTATTAGGGAACAGGGAGATTGAATATGTATTTGTCTTTACAGATCTATAAAGGAGCAAGTGACATGACACTATTTGTGGGTTACTAACCTAACCTGTTTGGTTTTGTTGCTTCTGGATAAATGAGACATCGGGCTGGCTGGCTTCTCTGGTTCCTTCCTGCTATCATATTTAGCAAGAAATGCGTTGTTGGAGTGAGATCAGGGAGGGACTGTCCCTGAGACAGTGTGGGGGAGTGTGTGGCCAGTCAGTAGCCAGGAATGCCTTTCCGAAGGACTTTTTTTGTGAGTCATACATCTTACTGATTCACTTAAATTCTAATTCTGTCCATTCTGTTTATCCGGCACTATACTGAGTGATACTGTCAGAGTATTGAGCCAGGTGAATGTGGCACCAACCTCCTGGAGCACCTGTTGAATGTTTACAGTACCTAGCCTAGATTACAGTAGCAGCTGGCCAGGTGGCAGCCGTGAGGAGTCACGGCCTCAGGGAAGGCCTCCGAATGTGGGGCGCACGCAGTCGGTGAACAGGCAGCTAGCCAGCTCAAGGACAGGAGGTCAGGGGTTGCTGGTAGGAGGCTTTGCAATTAAAATTTTTTAATTTTAAACTTTTATTTAAACTAATGATTATATCCATAGGCTACAATATGATGTTTAATGTATTTCTCTGGTGTGGAATAATTATATCAAGTTAATCACTATTTCTATCCCTCACATATTTATCTTTGTGTTGAGAACATGCAAAATCTTTTCACTTAGCAATTTTGAACACTGCTTTTAGCTGTGTTCACTTTGCTGTGCTATAAATCTTGAAAACATATTCCTTCTGTCTGGAGCTCTGTGCCCTTTGGTCTGCACTACCCACTTCCTTCTGGTAACCACTGTTTCAGCGTTCTACTCTAAGAGCTGCATTCTCGTAGCCCAGGTTGGCCTCGAACTCAACAGCAGTCCTCCTGCCTCAGCCTCTCAAGTGCTGGGATTATAGGCATGTGCCCCCACGCCTGGCTCTAGGAACTGCGTCCTTTATATCTATTTGTAATATATGTTTAAATTTTTGCATTCTCACTACATTATTCATCCCATGAATAAATGATGGGATAATTGGAATAGATATTGTAATTATATCCTGTTGTTATGGGAGTGAATTGAAATTGAAATATTATTATGGACCATTAGAAGTAAGGTCATTCCGAGTTTTTAATAAGTTTTAAAGATGTAAAGTAATCAAGGAGTGAAATATACACTGATTCCCCAAAAGAGGTGTTAACTGTGATGTATCACAAAACATCCACTTTAAAAAAACAAAATGAATTGTGAACAAATAGAAACACATGCCTTGCTGTAGGTGGGAAAGCAGTAGCATCAAGGTGACCGTTACTCTTCAACACAATACAAATTTCATCTACTTAAAAGAAAATTTGGTCTAGTTGTAAAAAAAAAAAAATCCTTAGCTTTGTTTGTTTATAATTTTAGAAAATTGTGGCTTCACATTTTTCATTCTTACCAAAATTTGCTAGTGACTATTGAGTGTCGAAAGGCAGCCTTGTGCCTTGCAGCATAAATTTAACTGGAACCTGGGTAGACTTGGGGAACTTCCGTATGATCTGATTAGTTTATTCTGTTTTTTGAGGAACCAGGGATTGAACTCAGGCTCTTGTGCTTGCCAGGGAAGCGCTTATGCTACTGTGCTATCTCCCCGGCCCCCTGATTAGTTTATTCTGATTTATAAAAAACAGACATTTTGGCAGATTACAGCATGAATCATGGTAATCATCCTTCTTCCGTGACTTCAGCACTACTCCAGGGAGCTGGGTGCCGTGGTGCACACCTGTAATCCCAGCACTCTGGGAGACTGAGGCAGTCGATTTTGAATTCAAACCCAGCCTGGACAAGTTAGTGACTTAGCAAGACCCTGTGTCAACATAAAGAACTCAGAAAGGGTTGGGTATGTATCTCAGTGTGAAGGCTGTGTGTTCAGGCCTCAGTACCAGAAAGAGGAGAAGGAGGAGGAATAATTCCCATTCCTGTCTCTGATGTCACATGGTGCTGCCACCAGGGGCTCTAATTTTGGCATCCTCTTCTTCTATGTCCTGTCTAACTTTTCCAGTTTGAATTCCTCATAATTTGAGTAGGTCTGGGGGGAAGGTATTTCCTCCTGCTTTAGTTGGTACGTAGTGAACATTAGTAAAACAGAAGAATGGCCTGGCCTCCTGTTTGTATGCACAGTAGGCTTTCAGTTAGGTATAATTTCTAACTTTAGAAGTTTGATATTTTTCCCATGAAGGGGACAACATAATTACCATATTGATGACTGTGTGTTATTCTGCTGAGTTTCAGAAACCCTTTAAGCTTCAGTCATTTCCCCTCATTGTTAGAACTTAAGTAATTTGTATCTGCATTTACTGAGTCTTCTATTTGCTTTCATCTCTTCTGAGTATTTTGTCCTAAAAACCAAGCCAAACACAAACTCCCACAAGAACCTTACGTATCACCTGTTGATTCTCTTTCTCTTCCCAGGAAAACCTTGCTTTTTATATATATATATATGCCACACGTGAAAGGCATATAGAAAGATCAAATATTTGTTTGAAGGAATGATTTAGATCACTGAGCAGTTTCCTAGGAATTATGCAGATGTGGACTTAGTCTGTGTCAGAATTCTGGGATCACCATGACCTTTTGTGTTATTGGCAGCTGTCATTTTACTGCTTTCTAGGGTAAAATGACAGATCCATATTGATTCATTTCGATGTTTCCTGCTGAGTTTTGAGTGCTTATTTTGTGAACTCTTAAAACAATGTGCTTCATTTTTACTGTTAATATTTTCCTAATTTCCTTTTAACTGTTTGGATTATGCAAACTTTTTAATTTTAATAGTTATACAATATTTTGTTTTACTATAACTAATTTTTCCATCACTTGAACTTTAAAAATTAGTTCCTTATTTAAATCTTCCTCTTTGTGGTAGGAATTGATTTTTGGGTTGATGGAATCTGTGGCCATAAGTGAATGTAATGTAATTTAATGTTAGCAGTATTTTTTTCATGGTATTGTGCCAGTTTTAAGAGATACATTTTTATGGATTATTTTAATTTATACTGTATAAGGTAATGTTTATATTTCATGTTTTTAGATTTTTGGTGTATGCTTTTGCATAAAATTTTAACAGTTTTGTATTTCAAGAGTGATTTATGTTCTAAGTAGCTAGCGTAATTCAACACTTTATTTTTTTAAAGATTGGTTTCATTTGAATCTCTTTAATAGTGTGACACAATGTTTTAATCAAGAACAGGGTTTAAAAGTGGTTTTCAGAGCCGGCCAGATAGCTCAGTGGATTAACTTACATCACTATGAGTCCGATCTAGTAGTGACACCCTGAACACCCTGTAGATCCTTCCCTGAAATACAAAAAAAAAAGTGGTTTTCATGAACAAAATTCCCAGTATTTTTTTTTTGCATTCATTTTCTTTATTTTGCAAATGTACAAGAAATAACTTCAAGTATAGGATTGTGTTGACAGTAAAACTGCATGAGGAGTTATTACAGAAGCGAATACTACAAAAGTGAATATCGCTTTTGAAAAAGCAATACTTAATATTACCTAACAGTTCTAAAATTACTTTTGTGTTTCTGAGGATTTAAGAATTATTGCTCTTATATTTTAAATTTTATGTTTTAAAATAAAATTTTGAAAAAGTGCAAGCTATATCTGCAAGTTATTCATCCCAATTCCTAACAGTTTATATTCTACCCATTGGTAGTTTAATGTGGAAGTCATGAATTTAACATGGGATGTAATACTATTAATTTATATCAATCAGATTTCATCAACTGTTTCACTAAGGTCTTTTTTAGTCCAAGGCCTAAATCATGATAACATGTTGGATTTAGTTATCATGTCTCCTTGCGTTGCTTAAAACCAGTTCCTTGTTTTAAGTTTTGGTCTTTCTTTGGCTTTGACAAGTTTGAAGAGTATTGAATAGTTTTTTTGAACAATGTTACTCAGTTTTCTACTTTTCTTTTTAAATTTTTTAAAGAATACAAAATAGTGATAGAAAAAAACATTAGAATGATATCACTCCCTTTCTTAACAATTCAGTTTATGTTATGCATTATTTTTGGGCAAGAATACCGCAAAAGGGGCAAGGGAAATAGCTCAGTGGTCTAAGCACTGCCGGGCAAGTGCAAGGACCTGGGTTCGATATCCAGTACCTCATGCCATGCCAGCCCTGGAACCCTGGGAGTGCTGTGCTGGCCACCAAAACTGGGTGTGCTAGTGTATGCCTATAACCACAGAGCTGGGGAGGCCAAGACAGGAGGATCACTATGAGTCTGAGCTGTGTAGTGAGACCTTGTACCAAATAAATAAATAAATGATTAAAAGAAATTTTTTAAAAAGAATACCACAAAAATAATACTCAGTAGGTCTAATTGAGAGGCAAGGGTATCAATTTATACAGTTACTATTGATGTTAACCTTAATCATTTTTAGACATTTCTTAGACTTTCTCCAAAAGATACCCTTTTCTCTCTTGTACTTAACATGTATCTTATGGCAAGATACTTTGGAACTCTAAAACTGTCTTGTCTCATTAAAATTTCGCTTAAAAATTTAAGCATTTACCAATGATTCTTGTTGGAAACAGTGATTTCTGTGGTGTCTGCCAAA